TTCTTTTAAATCCTGAGCAGAAAATATCCTTCCGATCAATTACTATATCTTGCAAGAATGAGATTTCATCAATTATCAGTTAACATCCATTTGATTTGATTTGTCCAGATTCAATTTGCCCTCAGTTTTATAAGAACACGTGACATATTTTTTCCATTAATACGTTTCTTTCATTATTCTCAAGACGGAAGAAATTACCTTAATTGTAAGAGGCAATTAATCGCAGATGGATCGTAATTGCGAGTAGTTTGCCGGGGCCGGATGGCGTAACGTTAAGCAGCCGCTTGTAATATATTATTTAAACGAAACCCTGAAGGCCGCAGGCCCGCAAATAGAATGAAGCGGGCGGTGATCGAGTACCCCTATGCGTTTTCCGAGGGTGCCACATAGACGGGCGGTAGTTACATCCGTTTCAGAACCGGGAAAACATCCCCCTCAATGAGACGATGCGGTTACGTAGTTACTTCTCTCCCCGGCGCTGTTCTCTTGGCTGTACTTACGTGTCTCGAACAGGTTACAAACGACGGGCGCGGTATTACAACCCGCAAATTACGGGGCCTCCCCCTCCTCCCCCCATCCGTCCCCCTCTCATCCGCGTTTCCACGACTGCAACACAAATGTGCCGGTCCAAAGGCTGGTGGATTACGCGTTTGACTGTGAAAGCTGGTAACCACCCTCTCGTCATCCTTCTCTCCTCGAACACGCAGACGTTTGATAGTCCCGGGATATATTAAGAAATAATGTTAATCAAGTAGGTTAATCTAAAAGGCAATTGTGGAAGTAGGAATCGGCGAAAGATTGACGATGTTCAATAAAAAAATGTATGTATATCTGTACATGCATTAATGGTATCTGTAGCAAAAGACTAGTTTTTGAACCCAATAAATAACAACTAATAAATAATATTTATATATTATTCTCTTACTATTACTTATTAGTTTCAAGAATTATTCTTTAAAAACAATTATTGAAATACGAAAATGCCAACACGGTTAAAATGTTACCTCAGCCAGAATTCGAACCTGGACCTTCCTACTCTCCGGGCGGACGTCTGTTCGACTACCGAGGCATGTGATAATATTTATAATAACTGGTAAATTAAGGAAGAACGTCCTTCACAGCGACGATAAATATTTATACATGTGAGGTAATATTTTTCGTAATAAATTATTTTCGCAAGATTTAAATAGATGCTATATGAGCATCGAATTATTGAATTACCTCGGCAATTTGTGATTACGTATTGTTCGGTTCGGTTCATAAGATTCATATATAAGATTTTCAAGCACCAAGAACCGCTTTGGACCATGTTGGCATTTTCGTATCTCAATTGTTTGTAACATTCCACGGTCGATCCAAATACTTAGTTAATTATTCCTCAGTTTTAAGAATAATATATAAATGATATTATAACAAATACATAGATGATATACAAATGATATTACAAGTACATAATAAATGATATTAGATGATATATAAATGACATTACAAATACATAATAAATGATATTATTTATTAAAACAATGGACAATCAAGGCCAAATGAGTCAAAGATATTATTTATATATTACTTGTAACAACGACAGACTAAAAGATAATTGAACGTCTGGGCGAGTGAAAATTTGAATGCCAGAGGAAAAACGCGTAATTGCATGGAAACTGAACGTCATAACGGAGCAGGTACTTCTTCCATTCATAAATTACAATATTCGCAGGCCACCCCTATCGTTAAGCGAATGCGTGTTTCCCGTCGCGCGGTGGCTACGCGAAATTCATTTACGGAATTAATACCGCGGATTTGCTAAACGAAGAATTACTGCGTGTCCCGCGTCCCGCCTTAATTGCGCGAGCAATACTATTTGCGCCGGGTTTAGAGGTCCACAAAGTTTTACACCGTTACTCTTTTGCTTTCAAATTAACGCAACCGTATATAATCAATTAGTATATTCATACCGCCATCGGAGCTTTTCTTAATTTTGACAACGCAAGATAAATTCTAATAAATTATATTTTCGTAAATTATCTCTTGCAAAGTATTCCTTATATATATCGTCAAAAACGATTACCATTTAAAGTAAATTAGCCACCATTCATAAATTAAAAGGCAAAATAATGTAAAGATATATGTATTTTTAAAAATATTAATAAATTATATAAATATTTTTTAAGGTGTAATTGTCCACTTATCATTTAGTTTTACATTATGCGTTATGATATTTTTTTTATAATGAATCATAAATATCATTTTTGCGAGTGATAAACAGCCGCGTGTAAAAGTTTCATTTTGCGCCGCGGTTTAATTTTCCGGAACGCTGAACCCGCAGGATGCTGCTCGCGTATCCGAAATCCTCATTTCGCCCAGAGGCGATCCTTTTCACCTCCTCGGCCCGTAATAACGCGGCAAAAGGAGCCTGCGTATTACGTCGTTTGATTAATTAATTTACGCCGATGAAGCGCCGGATTACCAACCCCCGGGGCTGCTGCAACCTTTTCCATTGCCTTGGCTTCCCTCGCCAGAAGAAACGAAGTAAACAAACGATTCCGTCCGCTTTTCCAGCTGCCGTTATACACCTAATGGCATTAACATTAACCGTGACGACGGTTGCGCAGACAAGCAGATAATTGCATCGTGTAAATTTGCTAAGCGGTGTGACTGCCGGTTTACGCGAAGATACCGTCTTAACTCTTCTGAAATGGGAAATTTCATTGTTTCGAAAATAGTGTTCAATAACATATTTTTCTCTAAACAATTTCATTTTCTATATTATTTTTGAAATTTTCTAGCAATTATATAGCAGAAAAGTCTAAATTCCGTTTATTCCCATAAAATTATGTATTTGTTATTACAGATCAAGATTTAATATTAATTTTATAGAATCTCATGTAGAATATATGTTATAACAATAATTTTAATTTTATATAAAAGTAATTAAATAAGATAAAGATATATGTAATATATCTTTATCTTATTTAATTACATATTTATGTGAAAAAACTACATCCAGTTGTAGATTTATAAATTACTGTAAGCTCTTTTTTTTGATAATACAACAATTTTACAAAATGAAGAAGAGTTCGAGCTTATCGCGATAAGAAAGACAAAGGAATGGTCTCCACTGTGCCATTGAACACGATTCTTGAGATAGCAATGAATAATTGAGGAGAAAGAGAGACTCCGAAGGGGAGGGACACGCGAGGAGATGTCTAGTATATGGGGGAACTACTTTCCGTGTTAGAAAGGAAGGCGTCGTATTCGCGAGAGGCACGAGAAGGATAACAAGCGTTAGTTTTTGCAAGCGTGAGACTCGAGGGACGAGTTGCATCCACGATGCATCTCGGTGGCCCCACGCCGTATTTCACCGCGTGAGGTTTGCAAGTTTACATTACCGGGGGAGGATCTGTTAGTTTCGGTAAGGTAAAGGTTTATAGGACGGCGAGAAATGTGGAAGTGTTCGCGCTACCGCGCGGTACCGCGCGGTTATAAATGGCTGCAACAACTGCAGTTGATTCTAATACAGGTAGAATCACCGATGTGCTTCCCAGCGTGAAGCGAACGTTTTAAACAAAACGCGTACAAGAGTACGCGGGAGAGGAAGCGAAAGCAAAAGAGGGGAAGAGTCATGCAAAATCAGCGCACATTCTCGATTTTTTTTTTCAGTATTAAGTATTTATTACATACAAGCATTTTTTACAATATGAAGTATCTGTTTCTTTAGACGTGACTGATGATATTTAGCATTTTTCTCCGTTATTGTATATTTAGAAACATTCTCTCGTACTCTATTTAATTACCATTATTATTAGGTATTCTTATAGAATAGGGTTTTTTTTCTTCAATAGAATCTCAATCAAATCTAATAAAAATAGTATAAGTGTACACGTGACGCAGGGGCGGGGGGTAATATACGGTGTGTCCAAACGATTAATAAATATTGTCAAAAAGGGAGAACTAATATAAATAAGTTTCGTACAACAAGTCGTAACGGAGTCGGGCGTTTCCGGTCCGTTACAGCGTTGAAATTCTTTTTTTCTTCTTACAAGACAAAAACGCGGAGACAATTTCTCGTGTGAGAACGGGCGATTAAAAACGTGTCAATAAATCTCGTCACTATGCATGGTTTCGGGCTTTTTGTGTATATACGCTTTCGCCTGCTTCATTTTTTTTTTCCTCTCTCTACAGTGATCGGGGACATTTTCGGCGTATGAACAAGTGACTCGCGACGCGAAATTCTGTACAAACACGCTCGCTCTCTAACAACTCTCGATAAAAATATATATTAATCGTTCATAAGAAAATATATCGATTATTCGCGCGGACGACGCGGAATTACTTCCGGCGCCCGAGAAACAAGTTTTGCAAAATGCGAACGAAAGGAGTCTCGAGTTTAAAAAGAAACGAGAAAATTTCAATTTTGCATGCGATTTCGATGAATCTCCTCTACGCCGATTATGATAAAATGCGAACAAAGAAAAGAGCGAGGGGGAGGGGTGGGGGCGGGGTGGGTGGGGGAAGGGATAAATCTCGCGCGCGCAAATGTACGAGAAAAATTGAATAACAAACAATCTGTACACTAAATCCTATCATTCCTCTAGTGTCGTTTCCTCTCGTTTTTCATGTGTTTTCCCAATAAAACTAGGATAACAGAAATGCTCGTTTCTTTATCCCTCGTTATAAATAAATCTGTCGCCAAACTCTACGTGTGATATCCGTGAAATAGGGCCGAGCGCAAAATATATAAAGCATGCTACCGATATATTCCACACACGTCTCATAATATTTTTTTTTTACGTTGCAAATAATGACAAGTAAAACTCGCACCTCTCGAACGTCGCAGCTGCATCGATCGAGTTTTACATCGTCGTCGAACAAAGTGCAATTAAATCCCATCCGTAGTGCATCTCTCGCGTAACAATTCTTACAATTAAACGTTACTAGATCGTCACTCACCGTTAACTTATGCAGCGGCTATCTCACAAAGCAATCAACATTCATCGTCATCGTCATCGTCATCATCATCACAGCTAGAGAAATTCATGCACGATCCGCGAAAAAGAGAAAAACATAACGATAGTGAAGTCTAGCGAATATCTAGAGTAATATACCAATGTTAAGTAGGCCATCTAAACGAAATACGATGAAAGGAAGAAAAAAGAAAAAAAAACAGTAAGATTGCTTGACTAGTGAGCGCACGCCCCGAAAATCTGGTAATGGAAGAAAAGTGTGTTTTCATTTTCTCTACTCCCGTGCTACTTTTCCCCATCTCCGTATCCGCAGAATGTCTCTCACGCGTTGTACGCGATAACGCGCTTAGAATTCGCTCGTGAAATTGTTATAAGATAGTACCACGCTACGTTATCTCTTATATGTTAGGGACATTCTTTCTCTTTCTCTCTCTCGAAATCCGTCGTTTTGGCAGATACGTTCTCTCAGCGTTTGATCCGACTTCCACTTTTAATCTCTCTTCTTCTTTCGCATCCTGTGTTACGTTTATTCGTCATCGATTTTTTTTCACTCTCGCGCAATTTCCAATTCTCTCACCTCTATCGATTAACGCCTCAAAAATCTTATTTGTAATCTATACACGCATGTATGTGTGGTAAGAGCGAACTCGTGTATGTGTGTTTATATATATATGTATGTGTGTGTGTTTGCGTGTGTACGTGAGAGAGAAAATAATTTCACGTCGATTCGTTATTCGTAAAATATGAACATCCGAAAAAAAATGATGTGTGTTACAAACAGGCCTCAAACCCCCTTCCTTTAGAAAGTTACATTTGCCTAATAGCGTACTACGACACACAGACTTGAGTGTCCATACTTGCTGTTGCGCAATAATAATTAATTAACATTATATTATTTTACACTTTCTCCTTCCCGGTGACGACGCTCAGAGCACGGCATTGATTGTGGGGGGCGCCCCGGGGATAGTCTTTTGCGCCCACGTTCTCGCTTCACCGAGAGATATATATATCCCCTTTACACATGATACGTCGCGCGACGGCGGTTATTTACATTATCATAAACAACAACGTCTCGTTCCGAATGTAGCTATTGCTCGCCACGAGCAATTCGGTTAGCGGTTGCCCAACTGCTCTTTCTCGTTTCGCCCGGGAACGTTTAAGAGACACCTTATGATAGTAGATCTGCGAAGCAAAAGAGAGAGAGAGACAGGTTTTAAAATTATATATCAGTCCAGTTTTTAGTTGTAACATGCAGGTCTTAACATGAAACTGCGATTTCACTTTTCTTTAGTAAAAGAATTCAATGATAAAATATACTGCAATAGAGAGGCTTGGCTTTTACGTACCTGGTACTTGATTGTTATCCTGCGGCTTGTTGATGAAATTATCCTGGAACGGATTGACATTGGCGTTAGCGGCGGCGGGCACGAACCCCATCGGGGTAAACGGCATCGCCGTCGGATTCAGATTGGAGTTGAGGGTGTCCTCGTTCGCCAGATTGGGCGTCAGTTCGAGTATCGGTCCGGTATCGTAGCCGCTACTGTTATTACTCAGAGTGTCGAAGTCCGACAGGTCTAACAGGTTGTTGGTCACGTTGTTTTGCTTGCTACAAAACGAGCCAAATGAAAAACATACAAAGACTAAAATTGACAGGCAGACGTACGGGCTTTAAGGTGTACTACGAGACTTAAGCAACTATATATCCACGACCACTAACGCGGAATCGCCGCCGCTAAATTTGCTAAGCCGATTTTGCGAGCGATTCGTCAACACCTCCGGAACAGTTCCGGAATCACTAGAACAAAGCGAAACCGATTCGAAACTTCGTTGAACAGGAACACAGTTCGCGATTCTACCTAAAAAAAAATGTCGTCAACTAAACGATATAAAGCTAGATATAAAGATAACTAAATAATGTATCGGATAATTATAAAGCGCTTATGCGTCAGTCTTTCTTTTTTGCATTATCGATCATATGACTGCTCCTCAGATTGCAGACTTTGAATGCCTCAAGAGGCAACTAGTTTTATATAAACTATATAAACAACTATTGTAAGCGATGAAGTCGGATAGAAATTGCTTTTATGCGTAGCGGTACTAACCGAGATAATCCACAACCTTTTGCGGTCCTTTGTGGGTATCCAATATATAAATCTTTCGTTTGCTTTTGGCCGAATGAAAAGTTGCAATATAACTTTTATATATATATATATATATATATATAATTACATATATTATTCTGTCGATGGATCGCAACAGGTTTCTGTTTAAATAACTACGGGAATCAGTTGATTAAATCGATATATATGTGTAACTATAATAATCATAGCTTGCTAGAAACATATTACAGCAAAACAGCAAATACAGATCTAATTACATAAAAAATTGAATCACATTCACGATCGAGCCACAATCGGAACTCGTCGGAATTGAGATATCAGAGAAGAAAAATTCATGCCGCGTCTTTTTCCGGTTCTCTTCTTCTTTCCCTTAATTCTCCTATACGGATATATACCTTTGTGTAGGATATTTCGTGGATGTGGTGTGTGCGTGAAGAGAGACGTTTTCTCACACGAACAGAGTATACTATATCGGAAAACATGTGGAAGTATAAATAGTACAGTAGCAAAAGTAGGCAGTAAGTTGACATGTACCGCGATTTGATGGTATAACAATACACAAGCATGAGGAGACGCAGACAATGAATTGTGCAAGGAAACGAACAAGCCACACCATATCAACGTTATTTAACATGCATTTGGTGATTTGATAGAGATTGTTACGAAAATCAGTCGCACTTACGGTATACGCACAACGGGTCAATAAATGGAAGAACACTTTTTAGTACCTAATTGGAGGAAAGAGAGATATACTCAGCAAAGATGATATTTACAAATTACTATGTACTTGTTGCACTGTGAAAATAATTACGTTGCGTTTTCCGTAATGCAGCTGCGAGACACGTCATTATTTGCTATACCTTTTGCAAAAGTCACGTTAACATTGTTCATCCTTGCTGAGTTGGTATGTTGTGAAATCACAAAACGAAACGTTTCGATGACTCATTAGATTTATGCCGCTCTCGTCTCTCTTTACATTATATACACTGAGAAATTATTTGTCGCATGATTTAACGCTAAGTGTATTCTGCCGTTCTTGTTAATATTTCTCTCGACGACTTCATGTTTTTACGTACGGAATTACATGTAACGTTCTTCCAAACTCTCGTTCACATAATACCTAATGACGATCGAAGTACGCGTGATTTCCGTTTCGTCTTTGATAATCCTAGCTAAAAACGTGTATGTAAATTTGCCGTTACATACACAGCTGAGTATCAGTTATAAAATATATGTGACTATTACGATGTAGGTGATACAATATACACTCTCGTACTTGCAATCTCATTATCACCGCGATAGCGATAGTGTTAGTCTTGTATGATTTATCAATTAATTAATATGTTGCTAATCGTGCAACTAATCGATAAACGGTGAGTCGCAATGGCGTGCTTATTTAATGCTCGTCAACCGTCGTACTGACTACTTTTGCAATGTACAATATGCGCGTGGGTTACTCAGAATATTTTGCATGAAGCGATTAAATGTTCGGTGAAATTAATGTCGAATAGGCAGTTCCTTCCCGTGGGAGTCTCAGGAAAGCGCAGTATATTTTTTTTTATATATATAAACTTTTTTCTTTCACTAAATAACCGTTTATAATAATTTATAATGTGTACATGTATATATACGTATATAACTTTGAAACTTAATTCATTTTAATAGTTAACCGACATTACAAGACATATTATGAACAACATAATTTATTATATGTACAAAGCCTTTGATAATAAAGCCTTTAAGAATACATCTAACAATTTTACACATTCAACCATAAATAAAGGTTCAAATAATTGCCATTTTTTGGAATCTGATAGGATCCCTCTTACGTATGTGTGTACAAATCTAAAACTCGAAATCATTTCTGCTTCGTGGTGCGATAAACGGTTCGTTGTGACTTAGAACTTTTATCACACCTATTTACAAATAAAATCGTATACAATATATTTAATTGAATACATTTAGCGTGGCACGTATTCTTCTACGGATTCAAATTATACAGCGCACCCCAAGAAATCTTTATACAGTAATTTTCACTTTTAATAGATGCCATAGTAATATTTGAGATTTCTTGATTTTCTGTAACGCGTAAATAGTTCCCTTTTATTGCGTGTTATGCAAATAAGTTTTTTTTTTACATGTATTTAAAAGTTGATCCTTTTATTGCGGGTCAGCTACCTTACGTGTATGATATTTATTTAACGCTTTAGTTCTTTTTTCCGATTCGAGTAGCTATACGGCCGATCTTTTGTTTTCGATTATACCAGTAATCAGTCCATTTGCAGTATTATAATGGCTAGTATCGTGCAATTTATTTATGCCCCGTAAAAATGTAAGTGATCGGCATGTTGCACTTTACCTAACTGTTTCATAATTATTTCGCAATTAATTATTTTAAATTCCTGATTAATCAAATACAATAGATGATTGCTTAAGTTTTTTTTTTAATTATGCTTAAAAGATACTTTCGCAATTACGGAAGAAAGATTAAATCTCCTTGATATCACACCCTCGCTTTTAACATGTTTTTAATATGTATTTCTCGATTGTATAATAATAATAATAATAATAATAATAATAATCGAATTCTAGCAGCATTATGTTGCATCTAAAATTAATCTCGGGCGCTTTTGCAATCGCGCGTAGTCGGAAGTTACATGTCTCAATGCCCAATTAAATGCGCGTTACCGAAACAAGCTATTACTATGGTATTATTGTCCATCGATCTGACGAGAAGAGACGCACGATTTTCTGTATTTTTTTTTTTTTCAACTCTCGCTCGACGACGGTGTACAACGCATTTTACGATTCCGTGGTTTAGAATTGATATACTTACACAGTGGCATTGTCCAGCGTAATCGACTGACTGTTGATACCGTTCCCGTGATTCGTATGATGACCGTTCAACTCTCCTTCAACGTTACCCTGATTATTATCCAATACAATTTTACTTTCGTTAATGCCGTTGCTGTGCGTCGTGCCGTTGTGCACTATGTCCGGTGCAGGTACGCTGTTTTCCGTGTGATGCGCCAGCTGCTCGCCGCTGATAAATTGCTGAGTCGCCTCGGATATTAGACTGGCTGTCATGACGTCGTCACCTTTGCCGTCCGGCATCGGTTTGTTCTCGTCGGTAGGGCTGTCTTCTTTTAGCTTGTCGCCATCGCCGCCTTCTCCCTGCACACATTGCGCCGTGAGAAGTTATTTTTTAATTTGACCAATTTATCTCTATATGGACTAGATAATTTTTAAATTTAATTGAAAGATTAATACAAAATTTTTTTATGTTTCCAATATTACCTTAGACGTATTGGTTTGATTTTTGCCTCTAGTCCTAAGCATAATCGCCTCGACTCGTTTGCGTCTGGCGTTGCGCTCCTCCTCTTCCTTCTTAAGCCTCTCAGCCATTTCGATTCGTTGTCTGTAATTAAAATGTATGGACATTATCACGTGAGTTTTTGAAAAAACTCAGGCAGAGAAGATTTGTTTAAGACCAACTTTTCCGCCTCTTCTCTCGCTTTGCGCTCCGCTTCCTCTTTCTCTTGTTTTTGTCGAGCTTCTTCCTCTCTTTTTCTTCTGTCCTCCTCCTCGCGACGTTTAGCTTCTTCGATCGCCAACTGCAGCCGTTGTTCCTCGGCCTCTCGAGCTTCGTTAGCTAAGCGTATAGTTTCCTCCTCGAGACGACGTTGCTCTTCCTCCTCCGCGCGCAATCTTTCAGCCTCCAGACGCGCTTCTTCCTCCTGCGGAAATTGTCACGCGTAAGGTAACAGACGTAAAGGCAAAGGTCTACATTAAATCGATTTGTAAACGGTACCTGTCGCTGGCGCTCCAATTCCGCTTCCCGTTCCGCTTGTTCTCGAGCTAATCTCCTACGCTCAGCCAGAGCGGCTTTCGCTTCCTCTTCGGTGGTGATTCTGATTTTCGCGATCATCGAAGCTGTAAAGTGAATTGTTAATAAAAATAGACGTCCATTCGAGACATCGTCAAGAGCTGAGCGATGCACAGACTTGCGACAAACGATCGCTCGATCTCAATAAAATTTCGATTAGTCATACCTGACATGTCAATTTGCTCGTCCGGATCACCTTCGAGCTTGATTTCAGTCGTCTCCGGCGATTTCTTCTCCTGCTTGATCTCTTCCTTCTTAGCGACTTTCGGCGATTCTTCCGCAATAGCACCCGATAGATTCTCTTGTATTAAATTAGTCTCCTCTTTGACTTGCTTGCTGGCCGACACAGGCTCCGTCGCTATCTTCGTATCGTTGGTTACGGATTCGACAACGTTCGCTTCCCGCTGTTAAAATGAAAATCAGAAGATAAATAAGAGACAAAACTACAGGCCGAGAAACGAGCAAAATTCAAATGAATGTTACATTACTTATTATATTTCAAATTACATAGCTGTACAAAAAAATTGTAATTTGAAAATGAAAATCAGAATTTGAGTCTGTTTTTTTTTTTTTTTAGGAAAAATTATGTATTTTGAAACGTCGGAATTATCTACTTTGAAAAATACTAATTGAAGTTGCGCGTTTCAAGGTACGTGTCATAGAGAATAAAGTTTACCTGCGTCTTTTCGCTACCCTGATCCTTCTTCTCCTCGTTTTTCTCCTCCGATTTCACATTCTGCGTCTCTTTACCCTCATCCTGCTTTATGATCTCCTGCACGTTAGTTTCGCGAATGATTGGTGCGTGCTCGACTCCGGGACTCTGCAGGGGTGTCGCTTTCGGAGTTATTCGCGGCGATGACTTGGCGTTCCTGATTAACTTGTCCGTCGGCTTCCTCACTTCCGCGGCTTTGGGTGTAGAAGGTTTCTTTGGAGTGCTATGGACCTTTGGCAGTGGTGGCTTTGAATCCTTCGTTAATTTCGCGTCACCCACCAGATCTGCGATAACGAGAACGATCGGGATACTTTCTATTCTATTCAGTAGATCCAGTTTCTAGTCTATCGGTAGTCTTCTCGGATACATACAGTATTTACATGCGCAGTTCTAGCAATCGTGATTAAAAATGATATGTACAAGAGGTGGGAAGTATAATAAAAATTTAAAAGAGAAATTTCGTGAAAAAAATAATGAAAATACATAAATTTACAAAAGTATAAATTTGTACAAGAGAAAAGAAATATACAGAAAAAAATGAATATAAAGTCGTTGGACGTCTTTTGGAATTTTTTTTGTCGTATTTTTTTAGATGTGTATGTATCTTTCAGGATATTTAGATTACAGACACAAAAATAATTTTCATCGGTTATATCTATTCTCTTTCTCGACCCAATTTTCGACTCCAACAGTAGTAGCGTTCTACAATCTTCGAGAACTTAATTTTGATAAATTATTTTTCTGTTTTTTTCAGGTCTCCTCGTTGAGCCTCGGTCTGAGGGCGATCTAAAAGGGTCGGTAGGAGGAGAAGTAATATAGGCATGCTCACTGTGTTTCTCTGTGACCGAGACACCGGTACCGGCAATAGAAGCGGGCCGCGGTCGGCGCGACGCGGCCGTGCGGGTACGCAGATTGACGTTACTGCTGCCCACGCTGCTGGCACTCTGCTGGCTCATGGAGCTGTGCGGTCGGGACGGGCTGTTGGGCGTCACTTCGCCGCTGCGGATACCTACGCGCACCCACCCATGATAAGTAATCTGTTGATCCTTTCGCCGGAGACTGATTACGCGATCGCGCGGATTCTTTCATTGTATAGAGAAGCACGTCGGTACGTGTATAATAAATTTCACGCTCGTACTTTTCACACTTTGCACATCGTGTCGCGCTTGTGACGTTGTTGTGACACAACGTGTAGCAGGTGAACATTGCAAAAAAAAAACACCGAAACGCAAGCACCGCCACCGACGTTCAAGTGCAGTCCGTGTGTGTGTAAAAAAAAAGAAAGGAGAAGAAAAAGAATACAGTCGAAATAAAAGAATAAGAAGCCCAATATGAATAAGAAAAAATAAGCAAACAGATAAAGATAAGAAAAATTAATTTATAATTGCGCAAAATAAGAAAGTGAAAGAATCGTAATCGAATAATAAGGTGAATTAACTATAATAGGAATAAATTGTCGCACTAAATACAAATGCGTGTGTATATAGTACTAAGTGAATTGCGAGATAAATTATGTAGCGATATAAGATAATAAGATATAAGAAAAACGTGCAGCTTACCGAGATGTTAGCTCATACCTTCACCCGTGGTACCGAAAAACCGCGTTGAGAGGCCTTCCTTAGTACAGGAGCGTTTTGTTAATCAATTCGGAAGTCACAGAGCCGGCCGCATCAAAATCGGCAATACTGACAATGCTTAATTGAATTCTCGTCATCTGCAGTATTAATTTAGCCATATTTCTATTAATGCAGACCATTTGATACAGTCGGCCCTTGAATGTTAAAAGTGGCGAAAGACTCTGCCATCAGAACATAATATTGAAGACTTTCGAAAATTGATTGGGGTTAGACACCTTTGAGAAAGTATAATAGTAGATACAAAAAAAATGTATCAACACGTTGAATAATTAATTTTGCGGCTTGAAATTGGAAGGAAAAACATCTTTCCTTTTGTGTGCTCGCGCCGTGACGTGAGGTTGGTCGTCCCGATTGACTTACAAAGACTCCTTTTCACACTTATTCATATAGACATGTGTGCACCCAACTCTGATTGAAAGTTCTCTTGTTAGACAGTGGAGTGCATTCATGTGTTGCTTTTTTATTTCACTTTATGATTTATGAGATCATTTTCCCTATTCGAAGACCATATGCCGATCTAGCTTGCGAAGCTTGTCATTAAGCAGTCTGACTGTATACAGTGATAAAAGTCTACTAGAAAATTAGTACAAAGCGAAACGGGTGATTAATTGTTGTCCGAGAAAAGCTGCCCGATGCCGATCGGAGAAACTTACATATCGCAACAAAGAGGATATTAAATAATTTTTACGAGATAAATTACGAGATAATACTGTGATTCATATACGTGTGGAAAGAATGCGATCTATATTAAGCTATTTCGCTTAACTACTTCATTTGTAATTATTATACGCGATTAAGATTAAGATCTATATACGCTGTCTTAGAATGCAAAGAATGGAAAAACTGCCGGTTAATTTCGTGGGAAATCGCCGGAGATACCTTTGCCTATGTACAAGAAGCTCGATTTGGTTGAAGGATTCCGAGGTCGAGTTGAGTGCACGGTGATGTGTTACACACACAACACTTACCTTGCTGCTGATGGGCCTGCTGGTGCTCGCGGGCCTTACGGCGCAGTCTTTCGGCGCGGGTGGGTCTGGGCATAGGCGCCGCGCCCGGTAGCGTGCCCATGCTGCGCGAGTTATCGGAGCGCTTTAGGCTCTTGCCCGCCGCTCCGCCGGGCGCGGCCAAGTGCGACATGCTGCGACTCATGCTAGAAGCGCTCTGCAGAGGCTGGCTCTGCCGTTGCTCCGTCAGCGTGCCGAGTTGCTGCTCGGTCACCGCGCGTTTCCTAGGCTGCGCCAGCTGGTCCAGCCTGGACATGGAGTAAGTCCTACCTGGCGAGCGTGTGAAGGCCTTGGCGCTGGAGCTGCGTGCCGTCGACGGCGGGCCGTCGCGCGGGGACGGTATCGTCGGCATGAGGTCGGTGCGTCTCCTGTTCACACGCAGGTAAACCGAGGTCGGGGTGCTGGGCGTGCCACCGCCGTCGCTGTCGTCACCTGCAAAGAGTCTCGCTTAGGGTGGTCGCCCTAGGGTACTCGCCAAACGAGCGACGTCCGTCCGATACGCGCGGATACGCGGCGCGGCGCGGCGCTCGCTCAATGGTGAGGCACACTCGAGTAAAGAGTCTCTCTGATGCGCCAACTCGGTCGCATTCAGATTTTCATCTCTCTTTTTTTTTCGCTACTTCTTTACGCTTGTGTTGCTTTGCTTTTCACATGCTGTGGCGTGTGGGAATGACGTGGGAGAGGGATACACTGAGAGAGATTTTATTTGGAATTGCAGTATTCGGGAAAGTGTATATTCCCAAACTTTGCTCGAAATTTCAATGTGATAAAAGAGTTATAGTGTATTTTTGATAAATAAAAGGGAGATTTTTTAAACAAAGGAATATATATTTTTTTAACGGTTTAATTGATGAAAAAAATATTCTCTCAATGTACGTAAATCGTGTAAAGCGCATGTATCCAGGTATCAAATTCAGTACATGCAGCAACAATTTTATGTGCAAGGGAAACTATATTACGCTATCTTCTGTGAACAGCACATTAGGAACATTCAAAGATAACATTAAATCGAAGTTAGTCAAACATTCCCTAAACAGTACAGCGAGAAACCCGCAAGCAATAAACTTTACTACTGACGATTATAAGTCCGCGTTCAAATTAACACAATTAATCGAGTTAGATTTTCAGCTTAGTCTGTTACGACGTGCAATAAAATATTCTCTACACTCTATATCTCTATATCTTTTATTACTAAACTACAATTTAAATTCTACCATAGTAGTAAATGATCGAATATAATCCAAGTTATATAAATACTGCTAGTAAACCGACAGTTCAACGTTAAATTGATAAGTACATGCTTTATATGTATAATGAAATAAGCGATTTGTTGATCGCGACTGATAATCGTCTTATTAGATCGTACTCGCGACGAATTTATTCAACAAACAAGTAACACTGAGCTACGTATTACTGACAAAGGGTCGGCTTGCGAAATGCACTAGTTGCAACTAAATATTAATAGTGATTAGTTCGTGTTAGTAAACGAGATTAACGGGAGTCGCACACGGGGTGGGCAAACTAACGGACACACTGTTGCGTGATATTGGCTGCCACGTGGTTTCACTCACGTTTTCGCAAGTGGCAGTTGTAAAATCCACTTGATACCCAATATCATACAATCCGGAAGGGAGCTACGAAGGGAATCGAGAGAAAGTGCGCGGGATATGTTCTTATACGATGTTAAATGAACGTGACATGCGTCGATAGAGTGTATGTGTGTGATGAAATAAATGAAAGACGTAATGGCGTAGAACACGAGAGAGAGAGAGAGAGAGAGAGAAAGGGAGCGAAAACGAGTGCTAAAACAGAAACGAGAGGTAAAGGATCGACAATATTCATTCTTGAGACGAAACAGAAAACGGAAATCTCCCCCGGCTTTCTTACAGGCTTCTTGAGAGATCAGGACTCACCACTGGCAACCCGCTGAATCATGGGACGCCTAGTGTCGCTATCGGACTTATCATCGATGGCAAAGATGTCGGTTGTGGGGGGCAGAGAGAGGCTGGCTCTCTTAGACTTGGCAGGAGTTAAGGGGGGATCGGGGCTAGAATTCCAATTGAACACCTCGTACATGGACGAGGACATTCTCATGTCTGCGAACAAACCATTCAACGCAACGCAATTATTATTAGGTGCTCCGCGAAAAATTTTTTTAAAAGGGGGGGGAGGACGGAAATATCGAGTGAGAAAAATAGGACGGGAAAGCAGTAAGTATCAGCGTGAGTTAGATACAGTGCGGATCGCACACACGCGTGTCTTTCCTTATTATTTTCTTTTCCGTACACCTCGCTGTGCAAAACCACCACCCGACAGGTAACAGAAAGAGAAAACCGTAATCCCCGTAGTTCAGAATTATTTCCTGGCTCTTAAAAAAAAAAATATTCTAGTTTTCGTTTCCATCCAGTGGTCTCCAAAATGCTATTTCTCCTTAAAGACAAACAAAAGAGAGAATGTTCGGATAGGAAAGAATGTGGATGAAGATGCGACGTTTACAGGGTGAATGCTAACCGAGCAGCAATCTGTGTGCAGTGTAAAGTAAAAAATAAATAAATAAATAATGTCGCATAAAAAGCAAAACTTGCGACTTAACGCGGGGCTCAAAACGTTCTCAAGACTCGCTGTGTAACCAATCTCAAGCTGAAAATACGTAATACGTGAAATTCGGTTCAAAGGGATATTGCCACAAGAGTGTACACAGAGAGTAATAGGCTTATAGACAGTGTAAACCTGAAAGTAAAGAACCAAAAATAAAATTTAGGCTATGGGCGGAAATTCGCGTTACAGATTCTAATGGTGCTGGACAATCGTTCTTTCATGCTTCGCGGTGTCGTCTTCGCCGTGAGCAATACGTGAAAGAGACTTCGTGCGACGGCGATTCTGTACAATTTATAACAAAAGATATATTTTTTTGATTGACTATTTAAGAACTCAAAGGCGCAATTCAATTACCAAATTAATAATTTAATAATTTAATTTAATTTTATAGCAAAGTAACTTGGTCGCTTCACCTATTCATTAATTTTCATAATTATAATAATTCATATGTTTTATTAGACAAAATTTCTTGTAAAAATTACTTTTTGTACTCCTACTATTTATGATATAATACGATACGATAGATAATATATTATGATATAATAATACTACAAAATGTAAGCAGCAAAACGCGGATTGAATTTTACAGCAAGTACATTTTGTTCATCGTATCTCGTGCGACGGAACCTCATTTTAAACGGCACGGTGAGAGTGCCGATTACCATTAAGAAAAATATATAGAAGCTACCGGAAGCGATCGTGCGTAAAGTATAGGCTATGCGAGAAGACGCGCGAGTCGCTTTCTCGTCTCGTTTATCCGACTCTTTGGCTCTGGGAAAAAAAAAATCGACGTGACGCAGAAATATTCTGTCTCGTAGTGACGACGCGCAATCGAATGTCACATCCCACGTGAATCCGCGACAGGAAGAACGATTGTAGGCCCCGTACGACAAACATCAATCATCGATACATATATATAACGCCGGACGTTCGAGCAAATAGGGCGGAGCAAGCAAAATGGGACCGGGGCGTGAATTCACCGACACATATGATTTATCCCTCTCTCGGAGCGCACCGTTCAGATTTATCTCGCCTCGTAGTAACTTCCGAACCATAATCGCGAGAGATTAACTTACGAAGTACCGCCGGCACATTTAATTGCGAAGGTGGCTTAACTGTGGCGTTAATCAGCCGGTGCCGAGTTCTCGATCTTCCTCCGGTGCACACGATGCACCACGTACCCGTACATTAAGTAAGTATATCGCGATATCCGTGTTTATACTCACATTGAAGTAAATCCGCTTCCGAGCCGAGCCTCATCATGCGTGCTCGCATCAAACGACCGTTGTTGATTCTCGACGCCCGACTGAATTTACGGCAAACAGCTAATTTGCATTCTACCGGTGCATCGTGCAGAACAGATACCACGCGTGTATTATTCATCCGCCGTATGCGAGATACGGAAAAGCCTTTAACGCCTTTCAGCTGCTCTGTCGGGCTACTTCATATTACATACGCACGAATATTTTACATACGCGAGATATTTCTTTCGCGTATTATGTGTTTAAATCCTTCTCTCTCTCTCTCTCTCTCTCTCTTTCTCTCTGTGATAAATCACAGAATATTATTTGCGAACAGTTGTAAGCGCCTTAATACAGACGGAATATCATGTTGGCTTTTAGAAACATGGAGAGAATTGACATGATTAAACCGAGACTACAATTTTTGACGGTACTCGCGACGATTAGAGATTTGAAGAATAAAATTATCGCGTAAATATTGGTAGAATCAAATTGGATTTTGTATATAGATTGACGTTATAGAAAACACGAAGATAAACTATTCAAAAATATTTCAAATTCTACCGGAAATTCCCGATTGAGAACTGAGTTATCGCGTAGAATAGAACGCTTAAGTATGTATCAAGTCGTAACATCGCGCGCTGAAAGGGTTAATCGAATTTCCACGATGTATAGCTAACGTACTCGCATCGACGATCGCCTTCCCGCCAATTCTTCAGTGAACTTCGGTGAATTCGTGTAATTCGCGAATCGGTATTTGGAAGAGTAATATCGACTGACCTTCGCCCGGTTTCCGATCGAGTCCGCCAGCGGAAGTGGCCCGTTTCTTGCTGCCGTCCAGCTCCCTCTCGGAGGACCTCCTGGTGAGGGGCTGCGCGGCAGAGAACATCATGACATTGGTCGTGGAGGTGGCCCTGCGGGTGCCCCAGAAGGTAGCGCCGCCGGTGTCGGCGGGCTCCAGCATCCGCGGCGTGGAGCTGCCAAACGCGAAAACGATGTGCGACCTCTCGTTCCTCCTCTTCGCCTCGATGCGCGCCTCTCTTTCCTGATTTTTGCGGAGGATAGCCTCCCGTCTCTCCCGCTCCGCCTCGCATATCAGCCGTTTTCTCTCTTCGACTTGATTTCGTCTGCGCAAAGAAAGCGACAAAATATGTTCAGACATAATTTCGGATGAAACTTCCTTACGGCTGAGAGAGCTTTAAATGTTTTCTTATTTTACACATATATAATGCAGATGTATAAATTCCTTTCAACGATCTCGGGTTAATTTAATTTAAGCGAGAAAAGGATTTGCATTTGCGTTCTTCAAATTCTCCACGTGAAACTAATCTAATTAATTGATCAATTGGATCGCGATTGCCGATTCTTTCAACTACGGGCTTTTGAATCGACAAACCTGTCGTTATCACGCGATCTGAGCTCATCGATGCGTCTTCGTCGCTCCTCCTCACGCTGTTCGCGGAAGCGTTGCGCGGCGAGAGCCTGCTGCCTGAGCTCCTCCAACTTCCGCTGCCGCTCCTCGTTCTGCCTCTCGCGGACGAGCTTCGCCCTGTCCAACTCCTTCGAGCTTCCCGTCGACTCCCGTCCTGCGAACAATGCGCGAAGCGCACGTATTCAGTATCCACCTGTCCAAACTAGTTGCCAATGCTTAGTTTGTATCGGTTTTTTTTTCACAAACACAGTGAATTAGATTAGAGATCAACGTATCTTTTTTTTTTAGAATTTTATACGAGGAAGTTTTTAATCACATTTTTACTCAATTGTATGTTTAGTAATAGAAATTTCAAGTTAAGCAGGTTTAAATACATTCAGACAATTTACAATTGAAATTATAAAAGATTTTAAGAGAAAATTTGCAATTGAAAATAAATAATTTCAAACAATTTCCAAAGTAAATGCAATATAATATAAACATATCAAAAGTAACGTTATCAAACTAATTACTACTATCACAAATAATTAATTGTTAAAAATAACTTATATATAACGAGACAGAAATGTGTATGCATATATATAATATGTGTGTATGTGGGAACAAGATAATCAGGAGAATACGCGAATTTCATCTCACTAAAAGAAAAGCTAGAGTTTATATATATAATACATCGAGATGGTAACAAAAATAGCTATTTACAAAATGAAATATTTAATCAGAGAAAATGAGTAAAATACAAAGCGCAATTAGAAATATTGTTCAACCCGCAAATGAAGTTTATATGTATTATTAGATCAACATTGTGTAAAATTAACGCGCGAATAGTAACTGTCACCGTTATTTGTTAAGACCGATACAAATGTCGAAAGCGTTAAAAGGCATTTCTATATAATTCGTTAGTATTATCGAAAGAGCAAGAGTCTACTTGAAGAGGAAAGAGGGGAATGGTCTGTACAGTGACCTTGAAAACGTTGATACCTTCATTCTCGTAAGGACGATCGCCGTCGAGGGAGTCCTCGTCGTAGAGACTTCGCGGGCGCTTCACATCTGCCGAGAAGAAAGCGAGACATGTGCGTGTGCACGTAAGATTTCAGGTATTAAGGCTATAGCACGTTACGAATGAACGCATGAATGGATGAATAAATGATTATTACGGTGATTACCGACGCACCTGCCGTGTATAGTGATACAGTATGCAAATGTGTGCCTGGCGCAGTTAAAACGAGTGGTTTTCGCATGCACGTGGTCGCTCGTGTTAATGCAAGATTGTGGAGTTGCTCGTACATGTTAGTGCAAGATGTCGCAACGGAGAAAAGTAATGGATAAATCGTGACGACGTTAACATCGGGTTCTGGTAACTTTTCGCACATAAAATTCCAAAATTTCATTAATAAAATATAATTAGGAATTAAAAATAAAGAAGCATAAAATTTAAAATAACAGAGATTCATTCTGGTTAGTTCTTTTAATGTTCATGTAAAGCACGTTGTCTTTTCATGGGCTATCCTCGGCCTAGTAATCTCATCCAACGAACGGCTTCTTTATCGAGGATAATCTCCATTTTATAAAATGACAACTCCCATTTTTTTAAAAGACATCTCCATCCCGTAATCCTCGTTTGCCTTTTAACTTCTTCAGAGAGAGATAATCAGGAGTACGAGGAAAAAGACTGCAGAATAAATCTGCTCTTCAGACAACGTTCGTTGTAAGTACGATGAAAAACGGGGGTTATGATGCAATATATATGAAAACCATTTTCACTGAATATTAAAAATGTAAGCCGCATTCGCTAAGAAGCTTTCAAGACGAGTTGAAAATTGTGTAATATCGAAAAAAAAATGTTGTGTTTAAGTCAGTTCTCGTTGTTACCAATGCACGGATAAAGGTATGACATTACGCGGAAAATTTCATAGTGTATAGCCTGACAGTTCGAAATGAAATGTTAATTGAAAAAATACAAAGGTCAGGACTGTGCAGGTTATATTTTACTTGCGAAATAATCCGCTTAATATATTTTAGGGCGCAGAGAGGGAACATTTTTCCAGTAAACTTGTCACGTTTATATTACATTTAAATAGAATATACACTCGCGAATGCAACGCATTAGCGATATTATTAATGTACAGCGATATACTTTTTACAATATCGTTTATTAAATTTACAAACTTATCAAGGGATTAGTATTCAAAAGCGTTAACCATTATTCGTCGAACACGCATTCCGTTACACAATTGCCAAATTACACATGATTCGTTAGCATTGTTATTCATTGCACGATAAACTCGTTTTTTTCATGATTTCCGAAATAGCACGCGCCGAAAAATCAATGAAAACGTAACGTCGGCTTTGTTAAATAGCCTAGCAACAGCACTCTTATGGTTCCCATTAAATTAAACGCGATTTGGAACTATAGCAGTATTATTTTGCGGCTTATCCCCCTTCCTCCCTCCCTCCCGTTAGAAAAACAAGTATGATACGATATTCATATTCATACAATACATATATACATATTTTTTCATATAATTGTCCGAGTTTTAGTTAAATTCAATCCTAATGCAAATAAAATTTTGCATCAGGATTTGTCACGCTCTCCGTTACATAGAATCAAACACAGCCGGATATATTTAGATCGCATTAGCTTTTCTAATTACAGCAGAGTTATTAATTATTTCAATTTCAAAATGCAAGTATTATCGTATTGAAATTATCGCATTGGGATACATTAATCTCTCGTTAACAACATCAAAATCATGAAATCTATTGGGTAACAAAACAAATCACGATACATATCACTTTCTGCTTTATAAGCAATTACTTCCGAAAGATTAGATGTGCTTCTGCGCACAGATGCGCACTGCAATTCGAATGCGCTCTCGGTGTTAGATGTTCAACGCATCAATTGCATCAAACACGGCAATTCTCTTAATGTTGCAAAGAGAAAGAGAAAGAGAAACAGAGTTCCACACACAAGTCACACAATCGTTATCGAAGCACGCCGAGCTCAAGCCGAGCATACCTGTCAAAGTGAGCGAGTCGTCACCACCAATCTGGGCGAACCAGTGCATCGTTTGTTCTGCGGAAGACAAATTCGAGGATATACACATTCTCTGACAGCTATAAAGTTCGCGCGGTACTTGCGTTACTCGTCGCGTGACAAACGCGACGCTACCGCTGTGTCGACGAAAGACGTGTACGTTTAACGATCAACGATATCAAAGTGCACTGCCGTAGATAACGCCGACTGGTTCCAGTCAATATTTATCTAAAGACAGCAGTATTGTGCACGTAACACGATATTGCGATTTATTCGACCGCGATATACGTCACTTGCCAAATGATATTATCATTGAAAAGAGAGCAGTTTAAAATTAAATATTATGTCCGTGGCCCTTTGAAGGTTTTATTTTATAAATAAATACGATAAATAAATACCGTTAACAGATCTATCCGCGTAACGCGAAGCCATTCATTAATAAATCCCTACGTTCGAAATTACATTTTCGTCGAGCGACGTCGAGGTATTATATTGATCAACACCTCGTTATCTTCACGTATACACAATCAATCGGTGCGCAATGAAAGTCTTTCGCTTTGCATCGATATCACACGAGAATCTGATATATAGGAGCCCCCACTCCTTCCTATATACTCGCACTAATTGCAACCCGCGACTGGCTTATACTATATTTTCATCCTTCGTCCGCGATCCAGTTTTCGACAAGCGTCAACGGGAACGACCCGCCAAGCTGCCAATATTGTTTCCGGCCGCTGATTGCAAATGCCAGACGGGTGGGAGGGAGGGACGGAAGAGTGCGCGAGGCGAGACAAAGCAGGTGGAAACGGTACCGCTGATGATAATTGGACATGCCATTAGTAATGCGGACGCGGAATCGAACGGCAACGACGAGGAGGGAGAGAAAATGTCGAAGAACGCGCGAGGGGGATGAAATGCCGAAGATTGCGGGAACGCGTATGAAAAGGAGGATGTTTTCGACGTCACGAATATCGAGTTACGTCGCAACATGCAGAAGAGAGGAGATTTTCCGACGATGAAAGCGCCGCTGGATTTTTCAAACAATTATATACATGTGGTATAAGTAATAGAAGACCCTCGCTCACCTTTTATCGGAAGATGGGAAACCGTGCTGAGAGCCACTTGCACGTAAATGTAATTTGGAAGACGAATTCGTATCGAATCACTGGGGAAATACTCGATACTCGCTCGAGCGGTACCAGCTGAAGACGTTCGAGTGGAGGGCTCCAAAAACGAAGAGTAAGGTAAAGTAAAGAGTCGAGAGAGACGAGCAAAAACAAATCGCCATATGGAAGCGTCTCGATAGCGTCGTGTCTGTTCGCTTTAATCATTTACGGGCAAATTGGCGGACTCTATATTTTGCGAAGTTTGCAAAATCGCGAATTATTAAAGCAAAATCTATTCATTATTCACATCTGTGCCACATCGCGTCGTATATTCGCGTCAATAAATCTCTTTCTCTGCGTCTGAATTTAAGTAAAAAACAATTTTCAGCACTCTCATATATTTAATCAAGAACCGACAAGTGGATAAATAACGTAATATAAAATACTGTGGGCACACAACATGCAATCGCAATTCTTGCGGATAAAAAGAGCGGCAAGAGAGAAGGTTCACTGCAAAGCGCGCCCATCAGTTTCATCCGTCCATTATCCTGATCGAAAATAAGTCTTCTTTCAAACTGTGGAAAACAAGGAACTTCCAAAGACGTCGGGACGAGGATAACGATACGTGGAAGATAACGATCGCTGGAACAATATTCTCGAGAATGTACATGCAAAACGCATCAATTTGGTATTGCACGCAATCCCGGGAGCTGTTAATCTCCGGTCATTCGGAAACGCACAATGCGTCCCGATCCATCCATCTCTCTCAAAGCTGTCGCCCACACAATATCGCCGTTAATTCACCGGCTTTTGACGAATGGAACGGAATAGCGAGTGGGGAACAATACGGTCGCGTTAAATGCAACGCGCGAAGAATCGGAGAATTGAAGAAGAGATCGAAGTGCTTAGAAACGGACTGCAAAGTGACGTCAAAAAAGAATTTTATTCTTGGAAAAATCTGGTATAACATATATGCAAATTTCTAGAATAGAAAAGAAAAATGATAAATCTATTCAAAATATGTATCCTGTGGAAACGTCAGATTTAGACTCGGCAATATCTTGCCTAAAAACTGCTTGTTAAGGAACCATGTATAGCACAGAAGTCTTTCAATACGACAAATCGCTCTCGGCAGCGCGCCGTGTTGTTTTAGGCAGGTTAAAATTCCAATTCTCGTGGCGATATTTTTGGCGATACGTCCGCAAATTCGAGACGCAAAGGGGATAGGTGGAAACAATGCGGTAACCGAGAAAATTTTAACGAATGGGAGACACAACATGACGCACGCCGTGTCGCCCGGAGGGATGCGCTCGTTCGAACCGGCGCGACGGCGGTGTATCTATCAGGCAGCCACAGTCATCATCGTCGTTGTCTTCGAGGCTCAAACGTTGGAAAATCCTCCGGTAGATACACACGGCTCTGTTAATCTCCCTTCGCCTGGAAGTGGGTCGGAAAACAATGGAATCCGTCGCTTCCATCTCCCGCTCTGCGTGACTGGGACTGTCTTCCCAATCCTCTCCCCTTTACTTCTTTCCACCTCCCCGGCTTTTCCTCTCGAATCCTCGATTCAGCCACTCGACTATTCTATCTCGCCAACCTTACTCGAGTGGCGGTAGTGTAGAATGCGAATAGATACGCGCTGGTTCGAGCCACGCGAATGATCCACGAGATGTTATCAAGGGTAACGAGATTTTCTCATCGATGATCGTGCTTTTCGCGTTTGCCGAAGCGATAACTATCGCGAGTAACATTGAGATATTTGTATGAATTATATTATAGGAAGAATATATAATATAATAGTAGAGATAAGTTTTAACAATACTTTTTACTTGCAGATATAGTAGATAATCTATGTGGAAGAACAAATTTAAGGAAGACATATATTTTAAGTCATTTTATTCAGTTATTTTTTATGATTAGTTGTTGATATTTAATTTGTATGTGTATTTTAAATTTCTAATTTATACAAGATCAATTTCTATCTATTGATCGTATCATATTTATTATTTATTAAAATATATTCTTAGAAATTTTTTCGATCTGTCGTAGAGAAATTTTATGTAAGTAAATTTTTAATGAAGGCTGTAGGATGACAATCGAAATTGTTCTCATTTCTCACGCTCTAGGATGCTGGTGTTTTGCTAATATTTGATGAGCGAACGTGCTTCTTGGGCACAGACGATAAGTATTTATACTTCGAATTTAAAGCCCCGATAATTCTCTTCGTCTTTTAAGTTAAACAAAGGCACTTTAAACATTGCGCAAGTACTTCGTTAGTTTTTAGATAAACTGGAGAAAGTAACTCGGGGAAAGACATAACACCGCGAATGTTCTTCCCGGACAATATCTTCCCATTTTTTTCTTACTTATTTTTCTCGTAAAATCCGTTATTAAAATAAGAGACGAATTAAACTTTCCATTGCAAACTTTCAACTGCACATAATTAAGTATAAGTTAATGTGTTATTAAATTAATGTTATATTTAATAAATTATCTGTTGCCGACGTACGCACGTACTCGCGTTTGACGCACGGACGCTGCTCGTTAGTCCAGATTTAATTGTGCCAGTCGCCTAGACGTATTTAATTATGCAAACGAGTGATAAATTACGCATCGCGCATTACTTCGTTGCAAATTGAATTTTTGTGCGTTACCGTGCGCGCGATTTTTCCGGCCGCCGCGTGAGGGACGCTATTTGGCAATTTTCACGAGCGCGCTTTTCACGATTGATTAAACTAACAGCATCGCCCACAAAAGCGCCGAGCGCAATTGAAGCGTTATTAAATCCACTTGACCGTTTCGCAGATTCGAAACCGAGAGAATTGCATTCGTTATCTCGCCGCGACCCTCGGAGGTCGGTAACTTCGGATTCATCGCGAACTCCCGATAGCACACTCCCGATGCCGGCGCAGATTGGAAAGCAGTTACGTGGTTTCCCGCCCGAGATTAATATCGTTATCGATTGCGGAATATCGGTCGACGTGGCAACCTACATTTCTTACGAAAATTCGCCAAGGATTTTGAATTTACGCAAGGCACCTGGCAAACCGGTTAAGTTCTCGTGCAAATTATGCAAAGTTGTTTTAATAATTTTTTAAATAAACGAAATGAGGAACTTTATGAAGCTGATTATTTAACACTATTACAACTCAAATTAGCGTAATTTGTGTTAATCATGTAGCATTTATAGCCGATAGAATCGATACAGAAATGCTAAGCGAAAGTGTCTTATATTTCCCTTTCAAACACTTGGAGCAATTCTGTGCCGTGCTTCTTTGCATTTTAAAAATACCACGTGCTGGAATATTTTTCAGGTCTCTCCAATAAAATCTGACCTGTATACCCGTACGTACATACGCCCGTGTCACTTGTATCACAAATAAATGATCAAGCTGTGCTCTCAAGCGTCACGGAGATGTCTGTAGACACGGGGGTGCGATATTAAAAAGTGCATCGCGTCCAAATCCGCCGTGTAAATGTCAAAAAGCCACCGTGAGAGGTATATCACATTGAGCATCACACTCGCTGTGAAGTAATAAAAAGTACTCGAGCCGCGGTGCTTTCGCCCGAAAACCAGCTAGAATGTACGTCAAGATAGACGAGGGAAAGAGAGGGGGAAGAATTAAATTAAATTATAGAGCACAAGCTACCGAGCACACCGTGTTACATCATTTTCATAAACGAAGGCTTTTTGCTTAAAATGATGAATTTTACAAGGAACTTTAGAAGAGTTATTTATTAAACCGGAGGTTTTATTAATGCTTGCTGCTAAGAATATCAAAGCGTTTAATTGTCTATTCTGAGATACAATTGTGGAGGATACGATCCTCCTTTCTGCTCGGTAGACCGGTAATTTATTACAGCAAACGAAAATACCCTAAATGCAGTCGGTCGTGCTCGTCGAACTTACCCTTCGTGAGAGAGTGGCGATTGTGTGCAGAACTGGACCTTTGGTTAGTTTCCTCAGGAGCGGCTCCAGCTGCAAAATAAATTGTTCGACGTAAAACAACTATCTCTCTGCTGTCCGAAGTCAATTTAGTGAATATGTTAACGTATATTATAGCAGTGAATAAAAATTTAATTAAAAGCGGCCGCCGTCCGACGGCATACGGTTTCGAACGCTTCAAGCACCTTGCGCCGGTATTAGTATTCCAGTAGCCGCATCAATTCCTCGCCGGTGAGACAACCGGTGTCATCCCGTGGCAGACGGAAGGCAGAATATTTAATTAAAATTACTATTTTGGATCATACCCCTAAATTCTGAATTTAATCTACAGGATTATCGATTGAAGCACTTTAGACGCTCTCTAATCTATGTCAGAATTCAGGATAGAATTCTATTTATAATTTCATGTGTGTCATGTATATTTTCAATTGTGTGATTCTAAATCGCGTTTAAAGTTGGCTACTGTAACCGACGAAAATAACGATATATTTCACAACTTCGCAATTAACTCCGTAACGTCTCAACGTTCAAAATTTGGTATTTGCGTGATAAAGTTAAGCGGATGAAAGGCAGATTCCGAGACACGTTTATTACTAAATGTCAGGAAGTTTTCCGCATATCGTTTCTACAATCGCAAATAAAACCGAGATAGCGACGGCGAGCGAGGCGAGACTGTCACACGTGCCACGAAGAAATTGCATTATGCCAACGAATATCGAATTGTGCAACGCGTGTAGGTAAAGGGCGGAGGACGAGGGACGTTGCGTATCTGGCGTACGGCGTGTATAGGGTATATAGATACGCGTAGTTGAACTTCGACATTTCGCCGAGAGGGTCTTTTCCTTCCCATTACGCGGAGACATTCACCGACTCAATTGGGTACAACTCGGGCGCGCGCTAGTGAAAAGATTCGATATGCAGGTTCATGTCCTCCGAAATGAAGCGTATATCTTCGGCGTAATTCACTCTTCGAGATTCGAGAGATTTCGTTCTTATTTGCGAGGGACTTATTGCTATTTAATTTTTGCGAATGACTGTAATCGTGGAGCAAATTGAATGAAAAAAGTGGGAGGATTATGTATACATGATATTTACAAAAATTGAGTTATTTGCTTCGATTCCAATCTAGATTTACTTTACAAATGTGAAAGTGCACATTTCTGAAGTAGATTCCTTAGATTTGAAAGAGAGAACACACATATAAAAGTGTACTACAGACATAAATATATGCGTAATTGGAATGAAAGACTAACGCACACATATTCGAATCCCTATATATTAATTCATTTAGAAAAATTACACTTCGCTATTTCCTTTTCCCTAGAAAATTTCCTTTTCCCTAGTCGGGATTACCATATTAAAAATGTTAAGCTTCTTAAAAGCGTGCTGAGAAAGAATAAATTTTCCAAGTTAACGTAGCAAGAGAGGTGAATTACTATATTCAGCTTAATGCAGCGATGATTCATCGACAATTTAGAGAAAAAATCTAAATTACCTGCTGCATAAGAAACAACGGAAGAGAGTACTTAGGCTCTAATTCCAGCCGCAAGATAAGATTTTAAGTGAGAGCAGAGTGGAGAGAGAGAGAGAGAGAGTAGGAAGAGAATAATCCGAGCCGACGGTGAATCTCGCTTCCTACAGCAGGTGTGTGTTTGTGTGTGTGCTGCAGTTTAAAGTATCGGGCGGCGGAGATAATGATGCGGAACGACGGATGAGGACGCTAACGATGATAACGCGAGACGTTCATGGTGAGGAGAAAGCATTTTATCTCGCGCGTCGTCGACATTCACCATCGATAGCCGCTCTTACCCAGGGACAGCACTCGAAATTCTCGCTAAATTCGCGCTATTAAGATCCGCGGATAATGAAGACGGAGAGAGTGTGGGACGACGAGCGTCGAGATAGAATCACCGATGCAGCGCGCGCATCGCTAAGGGAAACGTCAGACACGGGAGGCGAAAAGCCGGAATGGTATCCTTTGTGGTTTAAAGATGCCGGAGATATAATGCTTTAGGTGGCGTCGACGCGCGTCGCGGCGATTTGTCAGGATTGGAGAGAGTACTCGCTGAGAATCCGGCTCGTTCAACGATGTGCTCTTCGGCTGATGGTACAATAACCGCCAGTTTTACGTTGACTCCTTGAAGGATGCAGTCATTTACACTACTGTTAATTATACCATAAATACAAAAGCTTTTTCGCATTAATCTCGATTCGTGACACCTATTAATCGGCAAAAAATTGTACGCGATGTACGAAATGTTTGGAAAAAGAATGGAACAATGGCGTTCAGTAGAAAAAGTGGCTTTGCAACTGTTGTAAAATTCTTTAACATGATTGGTTTATACATTTAGATCCATGAAGAACTAAGAGCAAGAACCAATCATGTTGAAAAATCTTACAACAACAGTTGCAAAGTTGATTTCTCTACTAAACGCAGCCAATAAATCATTCATTTTGAAAATTATACCTAAAACGAATATCAGAAGCTATTGATTTATTCAGCTGTGTAAAGTTGGCCTCCTTACTATGCTGAAAATCCACTAACGATCATTACTCGATTGATGGTCGTTTGGTAGTCGTTTGGTAGTATTTGGTAGTTCATTCCCGATGAATGATATATGTCAAAATTATAAATAACAATACAAAAAAACATACGTGCATGAAGTTAGCTTCTCCTTTCGCAAAATATGGTTCTCCAGATTGCGTAAATAACATAAGCATTCGTTTGGTGATTATTTATTGATATTTGATAGTCCATTCTCGATGATTAATCAAAATAAGTAATCAAAATTAATGAATAAAATGAGTAATCATAAAATTATAAATAATTATACGAAAAAAAGACATACATGAACTTACAACTTTGATTACCATTCATTGAACTATAAAACGTTAATATTATAAACAATCACCAAACGAATGTTTAAAGTTACTTACGCAGTCTGGAAAGCCATATTTTGCGAAAGAAGGGGCTAATTTCACGCGCATACCTTTTTTTATTTACAACTTTGACTACCATTCATTGGGAATGAACTACCAAATACTACCAAACGACCACCAATCGAATGGTAATGGTTAGTAATCGTTAGTGGATTTTCAGTAGTGGAGTGGGGCAACTTTTGTATACAGCTGGATTATTCTATTAAATCTCAGAGAAAATATTTTATGTTACGCGCGCGCCGGTAGAGAGCATCAATTCTTTAGAGAATCTCATTCGAAGTCTCTAAACACTTTTACGCTTCAATGCCGCACTTTTCCTCCCCCGAGGGATTAAGCCCGACGACATTGGAGCGAGGCGAATGAATCGAAATCGCGTTTACTGCGTCACCGAATGGAGTACGAATGGGAGTGTCGCGCGAATTTAGATTCGCTCGAAACTGCAGCGGGAATACAAAGCGGGATAAAAAGAAACGGCCGCGCGGAAATAAACATGAATACGCGAGTTCTTGCATGTACATGACAAGCGGCGGGCAATGTTCGAACAGCATCGCGAATGTTTCGTAATCTTCGCGATTTGCTGTCGAATAACTGCGTCGCTATCTGACTACACCTGATCGTGCAACGGCAAACAGTACTACGTGAAAGAGCACTTACCAGCGAGAAATCTTTATGCTCTCAGTTGACGGAGGATTTTAGGATTTTGTTTGCATCTTAACCTTTAAACTACCATGCCCAAAAAAATCACACTAACCACAATGTCAGACCGCTATTATGCTTCCGCTAATTTTATAAGTTAATTATAATCAAAATGTATGTTTTCTGAATATTTGTTGATGGGAAAAGGAAAACTATGTTTTAATGTAAGGGTTAACAAAGAAATCTCGTATACAATAGAAATAAAATATATTTAAATGGTGACAAATAAGAAAATTGTTGATAAGTAACGTTTCAATAGCGGTCTGCGAAACCAATATAGTGGTTTAAAGGTTAAAAAACACGATAGGACTCTATTTCGGAAATTTTTTTCCAAAATTTCTAAATATTATTTTAATATTAAAATACTTAATATATAATACATAGTAATATATTTTATTTAATGTTAAAATAATGTTAAAATAGCTTTCAGTACCACTTCTAAGTGTTCATAAAAAAATTGACATAAAGATATGTTATAATTAAGTTGTTTTTTTTTTGCGAAAGATTCATTGTTGCACACTTATGTTGTAAATCAATTGCTCTGCCTTGTTTATTGTTCCGAAAAATAATTCATATTTTAAAATTCAAAATTCTGAGCATATGAAAACATTTTGATGTTATATCACATCCGTTGCATCGCTCAGAACTCGGCGACGTCTCAATTTTTAAATGGGAGTCTTTTGTATTCCCGCACAAACTGAGCTTGCCAGGGGGTACTTTTCTGGATGTGTAACAATTCTTATCGTATCTTGCCAGTCCGGAGTTACATTCTCGCTGCATAGGGGAAAAAGTGCACTCACTAGCGGCCATAAATTTCCGGGCATTCTCATGCAAAATAATCTAGAAGAACGAACGGGATGGTATGTTTGGAAAAAAATTCAAAAGAAGCGAAACGAAGTCTCGAACTCTTTCACATTGTTAGAATAGATTTCATTGACTTTAAAAATATTCTTTTCGCGCAATTAGATGGAGTTTGAAGTTTGACGCAGAGAAGAGACCTGCACGCGGATGCGCGTAAAACGTGTGCAAAAATTTTTTATTTCCAACCAAGAAACGTTACGTGAACAGTGATCAGTGAAAAATCTCGGCTATTTGCGTTACGTAAGAAATTCGAGCGCAGACAACGGAGTTGTCAATTTGCATAAATCTCCGACCGAAGGGGGACCGTATTGTTAATAAATTACGAACGAGAGCAAGAATGTCGGTCTGCGACATGAATTAATTCCTCGCCTCCCTTCTCGAAGGCCGCGTGATACTAGTAGCCGGATTCATTTGCAGGTCATTAGCAAGAACCGGTGATTACCTACGTCGCGTTGCGTACACTCGAATGCGCCTCAAGGTCTCGAGAGCAAATATCAGCAGCCGTTTAACTAGTTGGCAAATACACGCTAACGCAT